GCATTTTCAAGAAATGGTGTTGGAATCTGAAATAGCTTGTCTTGTGAAGTGCGCCAGCTATCAAAATACAATTTTAAGAGTAAAATTCATGAAATCCTCCTCCAGACTCGAAAAATATGACGATTATATTGATTTGTCTATTTTAATAGCACAACTATAAGACCCCAGCTTGTTCTGTTTTCTTGCCGTATCCTAAATGCATGAATGTAGTTGTAATTTGTCTAGAATTTTGAATCTCTTGCTCTGTAAATATTTTTATTTTATATTTTATTTTATAATATACGTATTAAACACTGCCCGCCTCGACTAGCCTTTGCTAACTGCGGGCAGTGCATATTTATTTGTAATATTGTGATATTGTAATTCAAATAATTCAAATTGTAATTCAAATAAAAAAAAAATTATATATGACGTAAACGTGCTTTCCTATTGGTCATTTGAGTTTGCTTTCGTTACGGTCAAAGGGTTTTTCGTCGTCATTTGGGTCATTTGGGTCAGTTAGTTTTTAGTTAGTTTTCTCTCTTGTCGAGTTTACAATTCAGTATATTAGTCCTGTGTACATTTGGTAGCAGGTTAGTTTTATGAAAAACCCCAAAACATCATTTCATATTTGTGCACGATCCTCGCAGTAAAGAGCACTATTTAAGCAATAGTGAAAATCAGACCTGAAAAAATTCAGGTCTCTACGGATTTCGAACCACTGACCTCTGCTCTACCAATTGAGCTAAAAAGCCAACTGGGAGCAGATCATCAAATTAGTTCGACATAAACCCGTAAGATGATAAATCAAACACAACGAATGTATGAAATTCATATATCTAAACTGCGGTTATAGAAACGTATTTGTGCACGATCCTTGCAGTAAAGAGCACTATTTAAGCATTAGAGACATAATTACCGCCCAAGATATGATTTCACGTCAGGCAAGATATCGATATTTACCTCAGCAGCATGGTAAAAGTAACTTTCGTGATCCGTCAACTCATCTAGTGGTCCCTCATGAGTAGCATTATTCAGTTCACATTTATACACTCCAAGTCCATCCACTCGTTTATCGAGATTGATACTGACACAGTCGGGCTCCATGTAACACACATTCTCACAAAAGCTCGCAACCATTACCTCCACCACACGGATGGTGTGTTTCAAGAGGCGTTTTCCTTCAAAAGCTTTTTCGGACCTAAACTCCAAATTACGACATTGGTTTGCCGAACAGACGTCTTTGATAAGGAAGTAATCAATGAATTAAATATATTGCAATTGGTTACTAAGTGATACTTTAAAAAATAACGAAAAATGTTCGATGAATTTAAAATTATCTCGAGTTGACAATCTGCCTCGTAAGTCTTAGCTGTGCGTTGATTACTAATGAAAATGTGACCGACATGTGTCTAGTCTGACGTGGCTGTGAATCCGAGTTAATTTTCTAATTCAGTGATGAATGCTTCATTGGTTGAACCTTTCAATATGATTAATACTGAAACGTCAAACTAACAGTGGAGATGAAGAGTCAATGAAGATGAAATTTCCATTCAAGATAACGATTTCTTGGTTATGAGTAAAGTTAAACTAACCTTGAGATTGAACAACCGTTGGTGTTCTAAAGTAGAGCTGTAGTAAAAGGAGGGGTATACGAATCAAGGACATGACAAAGACTGGAGCTACAACAATTCGCAGGTGTTCTGCTCTGAGCTTAGGGCTCTTTGTAAATTTTAACCCATCAATCGTATATCTTGGATACAAAGTCTTAAATAAGTAAGAGGATAATTTTAAACAATAGGATCTCGCGTGTTGTCAGGACTACAATAAGATGTTTATCTCATCACTCTTAACCCAATCGCTGTAAAATGTGCTCATCTAACTCGGTTGTCTTTCTTTGGTTTTAATGTCTTTCGGTACAGAAATATTATTCCTACTGGTTTGCCATAATGGAGTAAAGCTACATTATCTTGTGTTTTGATTTGTTGCTTAAAAATTGATTGATCCCAGTCGGTGATTATGCAGCCGTCTTTCAAGGTTAACCTCGAATAAGGTCATGTCTGACGAGCATTCCATGACGAGACGTTTCCTTGCCAGATCACCGTCACTTTGTCGAGAATTAAAACGCCATCATCACTGCACTTGGGTAAATTGGACCTAGAAGTGAAACTTCAAACAAGCTGCTCGAGAAAGAAAATCATACTGAGAATAACACGATTTGTTTGAAAACAAAATCAAGCGCAGTAATTTTGTCGAAAAATATGATGTAAATAGGCATGACAATTGACTAAAGTGGTTTTCGTCTATGAAAATTCGTGAATTTTTAATAGGAATGCAAAGGCATAGTTCGGTATCATTTGTTGAAAATAAGAATATATGAAATCAATTTTCTTTTTATGTTTCTCTTTGTTGAAACTCAGTTAAAATGGCCGGTATTAAAATTACCATACTAATTGTAAAGACTTCCTCAGCGGGCTTTTCCAATAATTTTCAGACCTCCAAGTATACAATAACACGAATTGAACCTAGAAATTCTTTGAGACGGCTTCAGCAAATTTCGCTAAACACGTACGTCCAAAAGCCTTCTCTTCTTCGCGAAATTCGCGCTCAAACTATCTCGTACACAAAAAGAATAATTAACACGAAGCAATATTATTCTAGAATACACGATATTTCTAACAGTCACGTATTTCTCAGAAGCACGTGCACCAAAGTGGCACCCTTCAAAAACATTGAAGACGCACGGTCTGACTTCTTTGGCCGCACGCAGTTTTTGCCAAAAAAATAAAAGTTCTATGAATTAAAATTTTAAAAGATTTTCTTTGTTATTTAAATTTGGAACTGTCCTCCTTACAAACCCATAACGGTATTGTATTTCTTGATTTATCAAAGAAAAAAAACCTTCACTCCGATTTTGTGTCTGCCTTTGACCCAAAAACGAATTCAGCGACTCTTAATGCTATCACTGAATTGTAGTCAATACATTAATTTTGGTCTTACTACCAAATTGAAAGGAAAAAATACTCAAAATACAGTTAACGAAGTGTATTAATACATTAATACAGACTCGCACTTAACCACACGCACAAAACTCACACTCCGTTGCCTGTCATCATACATTACTGCGCACGCTCCATTCTAAACAATATACAAATCTGGGAGCTGCGAAGGTAGAAATATGTAAAACGCAGATGTCCAAGAACTTATTTTGCTTCGGTTGGAACTAAAAAAATGGATTAGCTTGGTCGCTAACGAAAACGTTAGTCTGAATGTGAAAATATTTTTTTTGATTTTATATGTAGCGGAAAAGAATGCACACATTAGAGTGTGGTGTAGAGCTTAGTTAAACTAACACAAACACACATAGAAACACACACTTTCCAGACAAGGAAAAACAAATGAGAAACAATTACGACTTATAGAGCGTCCAATCGATCAAATTGAGAAAATAATTTTATTCAAATGAAATAGCATCCATCTTAAGCCACTGAGTTAGCTTCTACTACTCAGCTGCATATGATGTCTCTCAAACTCCTCAGAGAAAAAGAGTCAAGAACTTTCCAGTATTTCTGCAAAATATTCAAAACATTTTCCTGAAACGTGAAAGTAATTGTCAAGTGTAATCGACTTCCCAAACGATATCTGACGTTGACCAAGAGTAAATTGAACTTGGTGATACATTGTCGTAAATTAGCGGCTCTAAAAGCTATTAGGAAAAAACGAGTTGCAAAATTCAGAAAAGCTTTACGCAAAACAAAGGGTAACAGATGTAATGTAGAAGAATTAAATTTGCTTTGACCTCGATGAAAAGATGTTTAATAGCTGGATCATTAAGAGAAAACAACAGGACCGGATGCGGCGCGAGATATCGTGACAAGAGTTCTTTCACTATTGATTTTTCTAATGTCAGACCATCATAAAAAGTTTATGTTATTAAAATTACTTTCAATTGTCTTTTGTAACCGCTATGCCAACATTCATTGGCAGTAATATTTCTTCTCGGGTATCACAAAATTATCTAATAACAACTTGACTTGACTGAATGCGTTACAACTCTGGTGAAAAGACAAAATTACCCACAGTAAGTGAAACTACTTCAGATAAAGAGGGAAAACCGTAAATGTGAGTTTTCTTATTCAGCAAGATTTCAGTTGGGGGAAAAATATCACATCGAATGGAAGACACAACTAAAATATACCTTACTTTTCAATCCTGGTTGTTCCACATCGACTGAAAATAGCTAATTTTGATTATACGGACACCAACAAAATAACAGAAACTGCTGAGAATGTTGAAAAATATGCTCGATGAAACATCACGATGGTTTTGCTCAACCTCGTCTTATAATTGTTAATTATTTCACGGTGGCCAATTCATAAATGTGCAATATGCTAAGTCAACGTTTGATGGTTCTAACGAAAAAAAAGACCAGCATGAAAAGTTCCTTCCCTTACTTAAGAATTTTGTCTTTGTCAGCCAAGAATAGAGACTACAAGGAGAAAGTGCTGATGAATATTTTAAGATTTTTAACACCTCTTCTCTTCACTTGTAGATCTATTGGTTGATGGCAAATTTCAGTGGAAACCCAATGGCCACAAATGCCCGTAACAGAACTCTTACAAAGTCAAATGATGCGTACTGGTTGGTCGTTCCTGCCTCAGGGTGCGTTCCATTGTTCATTGTGCTCGTCACTGAGTCCCTGGCTATTATTACTCTTAATAGCATCAACATTATTGTCTTTGTGAAGCAGCGCAAGCAACAGCGCCAGAGTACCTACTTGATCATCCACCTGGCCATGGTCGATCTCGTGATCGGGGCAGCGAATCGGCCTCTTAGGATTTATGAGATGGGGAACTTCTGTGACCTGTGGGAGCACGATTTGCGAAACATCAATTGGTTCCCTGGAAAAGAATATGTATTAATGCGTAGTGCTCATCTTGTCTCCATTTTTAATCTCGCTGTCATTTCCTTAGAACGAGCGCACGCAACATTTCGTCCTTTCAAGCATCGCTTAGCTAAGAAATGGGTTTATGGAATGATAACCGCTGTCATATGGTCAGTGCCTGTAACTATAATCCCTATAACAGAATTAATACTTGTGTATGATATTCACAGCTACATCCGTCTCGACGTAATGTATTTTTATTATTATTTCACCCTTCTTTTTGTTATATTTGTAAGCTATATTTCTATTTACACTAAAGTTCGATGCAGTCGTCATCCTCAACGTCATGGTGCAGACGGTCTGAGGGAAAGAAAACTGACGAGTACATTGTTTCTTGTCACCCTTGTATCGTTTCTGATGCTCTCACCCGTGGTGGTATTCTGGGGCGTGGCGGGTTTTAATCCTGAGGTACCTATACAATTGAAATTTCATATCTTCATGACAATGAAAATATTTTTATTAGCTAACTCGGGAGTAAATCCTATAGTCTATGTTAAATGGATGCCAGCGTTGAGAGCAGGTATATCACATTTATTATTTCGCAGGGCTCCAAACCGCTTAAAGCCCATCGATATCCCAATGAGAGGTCTTTAACTGTTTATCTTAAGAGCCGAAAAAAGAAGCAAGATTTAATCTTTTTTCGTTAATATTTTCGATTGCGATTAAGAACACACTTCTTCCATAAGCTTTTCCTAAATCTTTACAAGAGAGAGGCATGGAAAGTAATTGGAGATAAAAAGTCTCAACGAACTATGTGAAACATTCGTCTATCTATAAGGTCAAGTCAGCGGCAATTAGACTCGTCCTGAAGGGAGCAAAATAGCTGTAATAAGATAAAGAACAAAAAAAACTTCGAGTCATTGTAGCAATTCAAAGACATGTATTCTATTATAATAGTGATGATTACTACTAAGATAAGAAAAGAAAGTGCTGCAACAACGACATTGATCGACAGTAACAATAACTCGAAGAACATGTACCAAAGAACGACAGCAAGTGACCGTTTCCCTTTAAATTGATGCAGTTTGTTTTCTTATGGTAGTTATTCGCATACTACTCACGTTTAAAAGGTTTCATTGATTCCCCCCTTGTCCCTATGTACAAAATGGTTCATTTAACAAATTATCATTTTTCACTTTTTATCTAACTATAGGCTAGTAAAAAAAAAAATTGTAAAAAACAACAGAAACAATAACTATAAAACTGATGTATGCTAAGACGAATGAAACATGTCAGGATTTTCTCCAGAAAAGAAAACTGAACTAACGGAACAAGAAGCGTTTAATTAAAAAAGAAAAAAACCAAGAGTTAATAATTTCTTGAAAAAACTTACGGCTGAAAGTTGTCTGAGTATATTAAATTGTCCTTGCCAGTCTCGTTAACTGTGTTTTTGTTCAAAAATTAGAATATTTGGTTCCAAACCAAGGCAAATTCGAGGCTGAAAGACATCTGCAATCGAAAGGTATAACGTGATTTCGTTGAGAGGACAGACTTCTAGATCGAGAATTAAACGTCCCATTTGACATATTTTGGCTCTGTCAAAAGATTATTTGGCCATGCATTACTAGCCACAGAAAAGTATTGCTAGGCCGGATACGGCATGAAATTTAGCCGTAAAGTTATTTGCTTTAGGCACTCTTCCGTTTCCGCTATTAAAATACAAGTCATGTACGAGACATTCAGTTTTACTTCTCTTTCATCACTCAAGATAAATAAAATCGTCATTTTCTCTTCCAATTCTTATAAATTCATTGATATTT